CCTTTAGCCGAAGTTTTTGGTTTGAGTGTCTCAATAACGCGTTGCATGTGCTGTAGCTGTGCAGCGAATCGCTCGAAGCGACGCTCGTATTGTTCACGCTCGGGTGGGAGTTGTCCTTGACTCAAGGTTAGAGCGTCTCTGGCCGCGTTTTGTTCTTTCAATCAGATAATCACAGTTTTAAGTTCATCAATAGATTTCTGTTGGTCACTAATAATTTGCAGATACTTCTTCTGCGTGTTTCGTAATTCCGCTAGTTCTTGCAGAACGCTTGGATGCGTCTGTGGTGCAGGCGAGGCATTAGGTGGAGACTGCGTGTTCTGCACCTTAGCTGCATATGTGGTGGGGAATGCTAGCTGCGTCGGAGGTTGTGTTGCCGACTGCGGGCGCGTCTGCGGTGTGAGTGTTGGCTGATCGGTAGCAAAAGACGGAAAGTTTTGTTCCTCTGACTGTTGCGTCTTCTGGGTCTTTTTGCCTGACATGCAGTGTTTTGGTGAGGAATAGGGTGCCGCTGGCTTGGGTGGTTTGTTCACTCGCTTGAAAAGAGCAGCAGTAGCTGCTGCTACCTTTGGACAGTCCGGCGAGCGCGAGTCATGGGGTCCACTGCAGTGTCTGCATTTCGGAGTACAGATAAAATCCTCCGCATGTTTCGTATGGCACTTTTTGCAAACTACTGGGTCCCTTTTAGAAGCTGTGCAAACGCCAGCTCTGTGTCCTATGCTTAAGCAGTTCAAGCATGACGTTATCTTGGGTCTATATTTGTGCACAGGGAAACGCACTGATTCGAAAGCCACGTATTCTGGCAGGTTTGAATCGTTGAACGTTATCAGTTCTGTGTTAAAACGACCCAAGAGGCCGTGCTAACACAATTTCGTGAGTTGAACTTGTCAGGCCTTGCATTAACTGCTCTTCAGTTAATCCCTCGATTGTGTAAATGACGCCTCTTATGCGCCCTTCACGGAGCACAACATATGTATTAAACTGCGCCATTTGATCGTCAATGATCAGGTGGTCCAGGTTTAGCAATAGATTTGCAGCTTGCTCTGTGTAACAATCAACTGCTGCTAGGTTAGACTTGGTGAGGAGTCTGCAGTGAATGTCCCACCTCTTTATTTGAGGAAGACTTAGACGGAGTCTATACGCAAACTTGTACGGCGGAATCTGGGTGATGTTAAATGCTTTAGGCCTAAACATCATGGTCTCAAATAGGGTCTGGGGCTGTGGGGAGGTTGGTGGCTTGAGTCGCGGGAGTTTTTGATTCTGTACTACAGTCCAGCTTTTCTCGTCGTCCATAGCTGTATGCTCAGATGCCGCATAATGTTAAGCAAAAAGATGCGGACTTACTTGGTTTCCTGTGGTGGTAGGGCCGTTTGGTGGTGTGTCGTTCGGAAGCCCTGACCGGGATGATTCTTGGGTGGTGGGGTCCACTGGCTGACTGTTAGAAGCATCTTCAGTTGGCTGAGGGGTTGGAATCTTGACAGCGCGATCATTTCCTCTCTTAGGTGGGCTCCCCTACAAGGGGAGCCGCCTCGGTGATAAGCGGAACAAGAGAACCGTTGACAGACGCCAGAAACGTTTGTTGCAGCAGCGCGCCGCGACAACCTTCCAGCTCGCCGGTCGAAAAGCGTCAAGACAGGGTGCGAGTGTCACCTTTCGTTTTGTCCTCAGAATGTCCACTGTATAGCGATACTTCTATATGCTGAATATATAATGGAAAGATGCGAGATAACGGTGCATGTAGTGTTCACTACATGGATGGACGGATCGACAGACAGAGAGATGCAAGGACTGACGCATGGATGGATGGACGCATGGATGAACGCACAGACGGACGAACGCATGAACCGTTGCTTGGACGGACGGATGCACAGACGGACGAATGCACGAACGGACACACCAACGCACGGTCGTATAGGCGGGTTGATGGAAGCAAGAACGAACGGACAGATGGACACTTCACCCCACTCATCATCATGCACTTCGTGGATTTGCTGTGATTTTTGAAGGCACTGTTTGTCTCACACTATAGGGCACTGTGTTCAGAGTTACGTAAGCTCATTCTTTAGGCGAGTTCTTGTGTGTGAAGCAGTGCGATGCAAAAAACAAACAAGTAAAAAACACAGTGATATATACATCTTTCCTCTTCTCCTCCTTTTCTCATAGCTAATTCCCAATGCAGGAGATTGGCCGAGTAGTAGGTGAAATTTTTAAAGTATTCTTTGGTATGCTACTGGTATAAGCTAGAATTTACTATTATATTGAACCTGTGTATGAAATACTAGTAATGAAAAATATAAAGTATGAAGAATTTCTCTCTATATTTTTCTATACTGACCGATGAATTCCTCTAAGGTCAAGAAAACATCTCTGTGACCGTAGCCCTGAGTATAGGGGCCAAACGTATGAACAATTGATTCTTAATATTAATAATTGTTGGGGTAACGTGCTGAAACCACCATAAGATTATGAGAGGGGCCGTAGTGGAGGGCTCCGGAAATTTCGACCATCTGGGGTTCTTAACGTGCACTGAAGTCTCAGCAAATAGGCCTCAAGCATTTTCGCCTCCATTGAAAATGTAGCCGAGTGCCTTTGTCACTAAATCACCATGACGGGTGATTCAGATGTCTCAGATCCAGATTTCGAAGAGGTGGCACTATGACTCTTCTGTTCAATGATGTTAACTGGTGACAGAATAGAAAGAAGTGAATAATGGTTTCCTCGCCATTACAGAAGAGGCACTGAGGGGAAAGCGCTAGATTTCCTCTATGCGAGCAAGAATCGATGGACGTAAATTTGGTTATAGACACTTCCATTATTCTTGCTTCCATTATCCTTGCACTTCTATAATCAATGCGTCAGGTAAATAAGAGGTGCTAAGATTCGGGACAAGCTGTCAAGACAGGGCTTGATAAACTTTTATTGCGATAGAAATTATATGGACACTCTCTGTTGTATCTCACTACCGGCTTCGGCGTCTATATGGGCGTTCTCTTCCCTCACCGTGTATGTATACGTATCTGTATATATGAAAACGCACGAAAAAAATCAGAATAACTGAGCCATGGAGGAGCACGTCCCTCAACTTTCAAGGGGCGAGCTGTTTATATCTACCACTTATCGCAGGTGACGGGCATCTCGGAGGGGGGAGGGGAGAAGAGAGGAACTATCACTCTTTCAGCATTGCTAGCAAGATGAAGCAATGAGCGCGTCTCCACATCGTCAGGCACGTGGCAGCATGTGCTCTGATCTCCCACGCGTACTTTGCCCCGCAGAGAGGAGGGGTTGTACGCTCTGTCACGCGTCCTTATCTTGCGGTGGGGAGGATCGTACGTCTTGACTAGCCTTCGGCTTTCACCGGAACAATTATGCTGCAGTTACCGTGTGCACAAAGGTCACTGCAATTGTTGCACAGTCTCGGTTTGCAAAAAAGCGCGTTTTACAGACACAGCGAAGTAACAACTGAGACGCTTATTTGCGTTCATCGGTACTTGTGAGAACGTTTTGAGCAACGTTTCTGCGTAGGAAACGCAGGGTACGTTTCGATCTGCTCTGTGCATGACCATCGCAGTTGTTGCTATTGCGTTCATTGCTTCGCTTTTGCGAGAAAGCTGTGGCTTTTTGATCTAATAAGCTCTTTGATACATCACAATCTTGAAATTGTGAAGTACACTGAGTTGTAATGTATGCTGTTAGCGAGAAAACTCGAATAATTGGTGTCACTGCTTCTTGTGTAAGAATGTTCGAAGGAAAAAGCCATCTTCTTCTCCGTCACTGTGATGATCCTCCCACGCCCCACTCAGAAAGCGTTTTCTCCCGATCCTCCCACCATAGAGTTTCCCAAAATTAACTAGAGGGCACTCTGGCGCTGCGATCATTCAGCGACCATGGGAATGATGGCTAGTACACACATTTGCCTAGTCTTCGTTCTTGTGGACCTCGCATAGTATTTGCGGCTTCGTTTATTGCTGCGTTTCGGTTTTTATTTGAAAGAAAGATTCAGCTCTTTCGAACTTCGTGACCTCATTAGGCAAGGTAAACCTAAAAAAAAAAACAAGGTGAGGAAGCGCAACCGCTGAACATTTGCTGTTTTTTTGTTTCGTGAGAAAACAGCTTCAAGCCACACGAACACACATGGAGCCAAAAACAGGCCAGAAGTACGAAGTTTAGACAAATATGTGTACTACCTATCATTCCCATGCTCGCTGAAGCGTCGTGCGTTGCAGCTCCCATACACACTAGCGCCAGAGTTCCCTCTAGTGTATATTACGAAACTCTATGCCTCCCACGCCCCACTCCATAAGCTGTTTCTGCAAGCCTTTCAGGATAGGACGTACTGAAATGTTTCTGTAGCTCACATGTGCTGCCCTGTCTCTATAACTAGCTCATCATTGGCCAAACTATGATGTCGTCACCATTACGTCACCTTATGATGAAGAAAGTGATGTTGTCATCACGCAGTCAGGATTTTTCCCGCCGCGCGTGTGTATACGCCGATGTTGGTGCACGCCATCGACGGCCATTTTTGGTATTTCGTGAGGCATATAACGCTTTCGCTGAATAAAGGGAGGGGGGGGGGCAAGGCAAGTAAATGAGACAGCATTGCACCTTGCGTTTCCTCCACATTGTCCTGTTCGGTGCGCTCCTTTAGGTAATGACGTTCTAATGCCAAGGCAGCAAAGCAGTTGCAACGAGGAGAATATTCTTTCATTTCCTCTGTATATTCTCTATATCTAATGAGATGGTACTGCATGAGTGACTGCAGCTACTTGCACGTTTTCTGGCGTTTGTTATATTAAATATCTCTGCATTCATCAAACAATGGTACGAAAACGTTTAGCTGTGTCTAAAATGAAACAAAACAAAAATAAAATTTAAAACAAGTGTTGTTTTTAGTGTACCGTGGTGATGTTATAGTTTGGCAGAACAATGCTGAAGCAAACAATACTCCGCTAGGCTTTTTACCAGCTTGAATGTATAGAAATTGAATTCTTTCAGATGCAGCAGACAAAGGGTCTTTAGCACGAGCGCACTGATGCGGAATATTGGTTCAGTGTACAGTCAGCCACATGTTTCAAATTCAGAGAATGGCTGAGGAACGTTTATGGTTTATATTTCTGTGGACGTCCATCTTAGCCACACAAGCTGGCCCCGCCGGAAGGAACTATTTTAACGCTCTCGATATTCGAAAGGTAAATTTACTTGTTTATTCACTGAAGGAACCTATAGTTATATTCAAAATAAATATTCATATTTCTGCAGATAGAAGAAAATGGCGCGCAAATGTTAGGCATAGTACGAGAGCTGCTTGAAGAACTATTCTGTGCAAGACTAAACCCTGATGAGTGGTCCCACTTTAAAGTCTGGTTTTGAAAAGATTTAATGTACGCTCACCTTAACACACCAGCAAAATATAGGTTGCGTTGAACGCGGCATGGCAGCATTTCATAAACAAACATCGTTTTGCAGCCCATAAAACTTGAAGGACGCATTCAATTGACCCGCCAATGATCAAAAATTTATCTGAGAGCAAATAAAATGTTTCACACCCTTCTCGCATAGAATGAAGTCCCCATGTTAAAAGCATACTGTCTTCAGTGGCCTGTGTATCGCGCATGCTGCTGTATGATTATTTATACAGTCAGCTCAGACTGTATCTGCGTTTCTCGTGATGCAGTTACACGTGATAAGTGTTGTAGGTGAAATCGATTATGCTGCACATGTTTTCGAAGATTCTTATATATAGCGGAAAAATCAGCACAAGTATTGATTTTCGTAATATTATCTGGCGTTTCATGAGATATTTCGAGGTGCACCGTATGGCGTTTCGCAAATGTTTGTCGCCCGGGGTTCTTTACCGTGCAAATAAATCTATCAGCGGGGCCTCAGCTTTTTTTCTAACATTTCGCTTCTATCAAAATGCTTTGCATTTTCGTCATATACACAGAAGTGGCCGCATGGACCTCTCGCGCAAATTTAGGTCTCTGTATATAGAAACTTTTATGTAGCTGTTCAATTCATTGTGTAAAGCACGTACAATTGCTCCTTTCAAACGATGAGAATACCTAGCATTTATGCGATTATTTGACTGCATATTTGAACAGAGTGGTCACCTGCACAAACCTTGTGCTAGTGCTGGTGGCGCACCAGATAAACCTTCTGGTGACAGAAGAACTAAATTTGTGCAAACTACTCTGTACTGCAACAGAAAGTCGTTGTTTTTATTTTAAAATCTTCATTCCTTTTGTGCTTGGGCCATTTTTGTCCAAACGTTCTTTTAAAGCATAAAACCTGTGCTCCTGTTGCACAAATTACGCTGTGTTATTCAAACTCAACGCTATTACAGGTTAGCTGGATTTGGATTCACCAAAATGAAACCTTGAACCTCTGTGCCCTTGCTCTTATGTGAACAGGGCTAGATAAGAACTTAGTTTGCTTTTGTACATTTTTATTTACTCTCGTACCGACGTTTCACAATGTTGCAAAGCCTTTAAATAATTTGAATTACTGCGCATTAGTTTTCTGACATGACCAATGCATGTTGTCAAAAGAACAGACAGTGCAAATTACTAGTTCTGCACCTAGCACTGACCTATTTTCGTTTGCCTTTTTATTTGAGGAACACGTCACCATTTCCGCATATGAAACAAAATTATTGACATAAACCACCTATATCTTTTAGTTAGTCTACTCATACTCACGTGCGAAAAGTCTGTCACCTACTGTAAATATTTGCAGGTCTTATGCAACCATGCTTGTCTCATGTGCATTTTCTTTTTATTACAGTTTTATAGAACTAGACATCCAATATGGTGCTTGCAGACGACAGAAAGGACGCAATACACCTGCAAAGTAGACGTAACAAGAATTATAACGCGTGATTACGTCATATTTAGTAGACTTTATTATTGGTACATTGCCAAGTAAGTATACGTGCTAGATTGCGAGTAATGCTTTCATTTCGTGTGCGATATTTCCAACAGAGTCAACAACACCCTGGAAGGAGTATTCCAGACTGGTGAGAAGAAGGCAACAAACCCAGACAGAATGATGGTCCACTTTCCAAGTAACGTATTGACAAAGTTTAAGCTACGTACCATTAAACAACGCAAATTTCGTGCCGTAATCCAGCGGTAATAATTCACGTTTTACGTCCCAAATTGACGATATGATTATCACGAACGCCATAGTGCTGTGGCTCCGGAAAATTTTGAGAACATGGTATTCTGTAACATTCACGTAAATCCAAATGCATGGAACTCCAGCATTTAGGCACCACCGAAGTGCGGCCACCGCCGCCAGGACTCGATCTTGGGGCTTTTGTGTCAGCAGTCGAGTGCCATTAGCTCTTTGGCAGCGTAACACGTTGTCATATTGAGGCGTCTAGTTAGTGGTTTGTAAATACTTGCTTTAATATGTACATCCTCTAAATGCACCTGTATATTGAATTTATAGAATGAAAGTTTTGGCACAACTATGGCGGCTAATATTTCAGTGTTACCTGTGTCATCTCGAAATGTGAGACGAGAGTTGGAGCGTGGTTCTAGATCAAGCCTTTCTTGCCCAAGATCTCCATAGTTTAATACCCAGCGGCTCAGAAGTTCTTAACTTACTTTTACACGTATAGATTAAACTTAGCACCGCAGCTAATCGCCTCGCGCATCTATTAGCGCGAATAAGTGGAATCCTTGAAAAACGAGAAGGTACAGGTAATCGACGCACGCTTTGACTGCTTTCTCACTTCGTTTGTCAGGAGAAGCGCGCTAGAGCTACAGAGGGGAGGGAGGGGGGGGGAGTGTAGCTTGCACAAAGACCGCGCGAGTCATGATTCCGAGCGAATATCATGAAACGCGATAGTCTTGCCAAGCTGCAATAGTTGCGGTGTGCCCCAGTGTTACTAGTGCGTAATCTCACTGCACCAGCATCTATACAGTGGCGCCCCTTTGCAAGCAGCACATGTGACCTAAATGTGCCACTCTTGGTTTATTTCAGCTGTCAGCCAACAGTAGGAACGTTTTATGTGACGAAAGAGCTGCCCGCAGCTTCGAAGAGTAACAGTAATTCTGCACACGAAGAAAGGGTGCTTCAGAACCGATGCAACAACGTGCTCCACTTAGAGATTTTATTTTCGCACGCACAACCGCAATTCTCCACAGAGCTGCTGATCTATAGCTGTGCATGACGTTCGCAGAATGTGTTGTTTCGGTAGGTCTAATGCATCACCCAGGGCATATTGCATTGGATCGGGATGCTATTCAAGAATAGTTTCCTTGCGCAGGGGATTGTGCGCTGTATAAGAGATAGTTTTTGTGGATAATCAGACTCACCGAAGCTATTAGCAACGCGGCGTCTAACCACTGCTATGGAATATGCCTATCTTCCTCCGTGCTCACGTGGCTTTTCAGGCTCCCCGCGATCTCGGCTCTCCAGCAGCTTTGCCTTGGCTGCGTAGCAGTTTCTTCGCCTCAACCTACACTAGTTGTTCCACGCCGTTTCGCGCGAGCCTTGTGAGCACAACGTTGATGCTTTGGCACGTCGCAAAACCTGATCCAGTGCTACACAAGGTTTGACACCTTCCTGGATACGCTTGACGGTGTGAATGTTGTTGCAAACAGGCACAGAAGTCTGCTCGAATGATGCTGTTCCTACTACTCTACACAGGAAGAGGGGAACAGGGAAAAAGAGCGCAACCTAACGATGCCAAGTAACGCAGGTCACACATAGTCCTGTCGACCTGGCGCAATGCGATTAACGTGCATCCAGTGTACTGGCTTATAGGAAGGTTGTTACCGCCCTTAAGGCCATATTGGTGCTGTCGTGTGTCACGCCATAGGCCCAACAAAACATCATCGGTCAATCACCTACACTGATATCTCTTAGTAGACTAAGTAAGCTTTTGCCTTTAACATACGTATACTTTTGCCTTTAACATGTGGGCATGTACTGAATGTATCCTCTACTGTTTTTTAGTACTTCATAGTGATCACAGTAGCGACCACTGTCACTGCAGACGATGATATGTGCGTAATGTCTTGTAAAGACCACATCACGATGAGTCCACTGAGGCATCGTTGCGATGTGTCGCTTTATTTTGCGATCCATGTAGAACGCCGTTTTTTTTTTGTCCCATTTGAGCAATCGTAGGTCTTGTCGCGCCGATTCAGTCTAGTGCTCAAGTGTGAAGTTACGAATTACGTGTGATAGATTGATTGATTGATTGATTGATTGATTGATTGATTGATTGATTGATTGATATGTGGGGCTTAACGCCGCAAAACCACCATACGATTATGAGAGATGCCGTAGTGGAGGGCTCCGGGAATTTTAACCAGCATTCTGCAACGTTCACCCAGACCTGAACACACAGGCCTGCACCATTTTCGCCTCCATCGGAAATGGAGCCAACGCAGCCGGGATTCCATCCCGCGACCTGCGTGCTGGTCAGCAGCCGAGTATCTTAGCTACTAGACCACCCCGGCGGGAAAGTTGCGCATTACGCGCCGACGCTTCTGGTCGTGAACACGCAATGTGCGCTTCAGGGCCACTGTTTAAGGCTCTTTTAGCTTCCGCGTCTGCCTCTCCGTAAAAATGTAAGCAAGCCCATCTGAGTGTACATGCATTCGAATAAAAAAGCAGCGATAGCTTGTTAGAAAAAACAAAAACACGCGAACGCAAACACGTCACGAATTGCAGAAAGAGAAACATGCCGATACGCTGTGACACGTGATACCCATCTCCTGCTGAAATTTGCCCGATTTCTGAGAATATCACGACCGCTTTTTTTTAACCGCGTGAGCACAGTTTTAAATAGGCATGTTTCACTTAAGTCCTTATATTTCATTGTGATTTTGTTAGAAAAGAAGGGGGAGGGGGGGTTAAGCAACTTTACTTTGTTCATATAGGGTCTCTTTCCTGTAATCTGCGTTTTTTTTTTCTAGACTCTTCCACCTCCTCCATCACAACGGCAATTTGTGGGTTTCGATAAACGCCTGAGTTTGTATGTTGAATGCTGCACTGCATTCTACACTGAGATGTGAACAGATGAAGCAGTGTGAAATCTCAGCAAATTCGAAATGTAGTTGCTAAAGCTATACGTGAACTCAGAGCTACTCAGGCTTCAGAAGTGAAACGCAGATACAGAAAAACGAAGGGTTTTGAAGCTAAAAAAGACAATTAAATGAAATCGCGATGCCATTCTGTGGCTCTGAGTTACTAAATTATATATGACACGCACTAAAGATTGATTACGTCACGCTTTTATGAAATGCCTTCTTGCGTTCACGATAAAATGAGAGACGAAGTGAAAGTAGGACATTGATGAACACTTGCAATAACAGGTTCTCTTTATTGATAACTTCCATGATGTGTATTTTCACTAACTTCCTTCTGCAGAGATCATGTTCACAGAAACAGAACAAGTCCAGTATGAGAGCAGCGACAGCCACTGTGGGGTCTTTTTAATTTCTTCAATTGCTGGAAGTACGTATGCATCATTTGATAAAACCAGGTACATTAGCTATTTATGATATTTTAGAAGCAGCACCTTCCCAGAAGCACCACTCTATGATACTGCCCACAACTACCATTGGTAGCTTTTCTTTACTACTTCATGCATTCTTTCTCGTTTGACAGTAGCGCATGCTTTGTAACTACTTCAAGAAAATGTTGACGAATATCAATATATTTGGCACAATGTATGTATTTTTATATTTGTGTCATATGTTGAAGTGTTTTAGCGTTTTCTAAACTTCTTAAGTCTTACTATATATATGACGACAACGCTGAAGTCAGTATTGTTTCGTTTGAACAGTTGACAATGCTAGAAGGGTTTCTCATCAAGAAATAGGATTACTTTTCTATCTTTAACAAAAAATACATAACCATTTTCTTTTCAGCAAAACATCTTGAGCTTCGTGTTTGGAATGTTTCTGTTCACCGTGTCGACAGGAAGTGCCTTGCATATTTTCATTTCATGGCTCACAAGACAAGACAGCTATACAAAGTACTTTATAATAATACGTGTCAAAGAATAATACAGTGAAAATAAATTTCTGCCCTATCCGTCCCATTTCATTCTGCCTGAGTTGGAACACTTCTTGTACACGTTCCCACTGCGTTCTTCTTGCTTACAAAAAGAAACTCCACCATAGCATGAAATGCAATTGGTTAAACAACAAAGCTGAAATGTGTGATCTCAGGGATTGTTGTTGGGATATACTCGCCAGTTCAATAAGGTCATTGTGAATCATTACCCCTGTTAAAAACTCCTAATTGATATTTCCCAGCCACGTCTACCCCCCCCCCTATGATGTTGAGTGAATCAATAGTCAGATGTAGGTTTTGTCCCTTTTCTATAGAACATGCAATAGACAGATTGGCAGACCGCAGTGGCTTGCCGGATGCATGACTGACTTGGTGCTACAGACGAAAATGAGAGGAACAAGATTTCGGTATGAGATTCCTGCTGAAATCGAGTTCGTCATAGGCGTCCCATAGGTGGGGTGAAGTGTACTATGTATTTCCAACTCCTTTTGTCAAAAGGACACTACAGTCAAATAACAATTTACGTCAGAATGAATAAACTTTAATGAATGGCCTCATCTAAAATGATAATATTATGAACAGCAGTGCCCTACTTACTGAGAAATTGAGGTAAATGCACAAGAACACATGCGCCCCAGTGGGACATTCTGAAAATGATACCGACGACGTCAGACGAACCGCCTACAATTATTCACTAGTAATAGATCTATCTAGCCGCACTACATAAAGAACCTTTCATACATTAAGAGACGCAATAAAACGCTGCTTGTTCATTTTGGTTTGATTCATGAAAAAAAAAACACCGGACGTTACTATGAATAATGGCGTGAATGGTTCAAAAAGTCAATTTTTCGCGTGGTTACAGAAGACATGTCGTGCCATCTTGTGGGGCGCAGTTGAGCCAAAACACGTCTGCAATCTCGGAGTCAATCACAGGAAATTGATCAAAGGCTGTTGTTGGTGCTGTGACTCCTGCTGCTTTCGTTCAGTGTCCTAGTGTCGACGGAGTAAAGCCGGGCAACGTTGTGCACGGCAACAGTGACGTGAGTCAAACCACTTCTTGAGGCGGGTAATTTGAACTGCTCTAACCCGATGCGGGCCACCAAAATGAGATTTTATTTCAGAATAAGCCCTTCCTTGGCAAAAAAGTAACACTAAAAGGTTTCTGGACCACTATTTCAACAATCAACATCGACCTCATAGTTGCCTTTAGTGTCCCTTTACAGGTTATTTATATTGAATACACATGAACATTAAAACTAGTTCAAGGTCACGCTCGTTTTATCAACACTGTAGTCTGTCTTTCAGAGTGTCTCCTTACCGTAAACACATCTCCAAGCCAACATGATCAACCTAGCCCCTTTCATGGCATTACGAATAAAGCTGCTTTCAATTCAGTTCTACTCAATTGTAATTCTTCTCGTTTCATTCTAAAATAAATTCATTTATATTCATTTCAAAAGTGTCATTCTATGTTTAATGCACACTCACTCTGATTTATAATGACAAACTAATTCGTCCATTATATTTTAGTTTTCTTCAACACCTTTAAATCTAGAGGCACCTGCTAGCACATGAGGTGGTTGAAAAGCTTGCAGGCCGTGTGTACTCTTCAGAGTGTGATGTAGAGCGCAGAATTGAAAGTGTTTGGAGTGCGCGGAACTTGAAACGGATTGAGTGAGCGGAATTTGAAGAGCCCGCCGTGACCCAAGTTGGCACTCGGCAACGAGGAAGAAGCTGGCACGGATGTGTACCAAGAAACAATAAATGACTGAGTCAAACCACTTCTTGAGGCGGGTAATTTGAACTGCTCTAACCCGATGCGGGCCACCAAAATGAGATTTTATTTCAGAATAAGCCCTTCCTTGGCAAAAAAGTAACACTAAAAGGTTTCCCTGCGCCACCGAAGATCCCTGCGCCACCGAAGGCACGCCCGCCATAATTGCACACAATTGAAGCTTGCTCTCGGGGTGTGGCCAAGAATTGAGTAGCTATTGTTGGTTAATTGATCTACCATCGTTTCTTATACTGCAATAGTTGTTTGATCAGTGTTTTTTGTGCAGTTCAGACAAGACAAGATGCCCTTATCTTCGCCAGGGCCAGGGACTTTTCTTTGGTCTGCTTCTACGGATCCAAAGGAGGTGCCAGTGGATCTTTTTTTGAACAACGGAATATCATCGGTTCCAGTGGCTCTAGTCCCGAACAATGACGGCATCATTAGGATGAAAAACCCGAAGATCATTCAGGCGGAATTACGGTCAGTGACGGCCCAATACCAGTCCATAACGGAGGTCCGCCAGTTCGGCAGAGGAGGCATACTGTGCTTTTCGCCAGACCAGTCCTGTGTCCTAGATCTGCTAAAGTGCTCAACGTTTGCATCCCAGCCGGTGAGCGCGGAGATGGCTAGATGCAGTCTGCATGACCTTAAATGTAAATAAAAGTGCAGTATTGATATTCCCGTTATCCAATCCCATCTCAATTTCAATATGTTATAAACAAGAGCCCATTCCACAGGTGGAATCTCTTGAATATTTGGGAGTAACTTATAATGCCAACCTAAACTGGACTCCTCACATAGAAAGCATGGCATCTAAAGCACAACGCGCCTTAGGAATTCTTCGTAGACTGAGCAGCCGCCGATATGGTCTACGCAGAAGCACAATGGTGATGATCTATAAAATGTATATGCGACCAATCCTAGAATTCGGGTGCGTATTGTTCTCAGGTGGCCCTGCCTATAAAATAAAGCCTCTGGTTATGCTGGAACGAGAAGCCTTGAGATTGTGTCTAGGACTTCCGAGGTTTGTAAGAAACAATGTTTTGTATCAGGAAGCACGATTACCTACATTGCCTTGCCGTTTTCGTATCCTAACGGTTCAGACGTTTCTGAAATTTTATAGCTATGCGCCAAGACGATCTGAGTATGATTTTATAAGTGACCCAGACAGCTTTTTTCTTGCCCATTGGCCACGCTTTCGAACACCTCAAATTGCTTTTGTCCAGAAACAACTAGATCGGTTAAATGTAAAAATTCGAGATGTGATTGCTGCGCAGGATACAAATCAAATTCTTAAGATTGAATTCGATGACATTTTTCCCTCTAAGGCCAAATTACAATCCTATAGGGTCTTAAATAGCCGACTGCAGGATTATCTTGCACATGCGGAAACGAATAACATTATAGCCACAGATGCTTCAGTATTGAATGAAAAGACAGGTGTAGGTATATACTCACATTAGCTTGACTGGTCTTTTTCAACCCCAGTTTTTGAAGCTGAGCTGTTGGCAATAGTTCTAGCGCTGCGAAAGCTACCTTTGAATGCCGCTAATGCGATCATAATAATGGATTCCCTGTCAGTATGTACGTCGATTACGGCGTCAACAAAATCGATGGCCTTAAAGACGCTCCTTATGCTAGTTCCTCCTCAGCTGTAGCTACTGAAATTAGTATGGGTACCCGGTCATTGCGGCTTAGAAGTAAATGAAATCGCCGACTCTCTAGCACGAACAGCATTGGAAGGGCCAGTACTATCAGTCCTTCCCGAAGTGGCCACTATAACGGCGACAAGATACAGAAAGCTTGCGCTCAGTGCAGACGCTATGGAAGCAATATTGTCAACACCAGAATTTACTCACTTAAGATTTCCATGGAAAAGTCATTGGTGTCCTACAAAACAGTTGGAAACCATAATAACCAGATTTCGATGTCGTGTCCCCCCGTTAAATTTCTATTCACATAGGGCTGGTCTGGCGATATCACCACTATGCAACTTTTGTTCAGAATTGGAAACAATAGAGCACTATTTTTTATCATGTCGCCGATACAAATTGCTTAGGAAAACATTCTTAGCCCTCCCATTTGCTAGCCTGGGGTTGAATTTCACTATAGAAAACATACTTTCCTTCGGTGCTTACGATCTGGGCTTCAGCCACGAGAACGTTTTCTACGCAGTTTGCAAGTACCTGAATGAAAGTAAAAGAATTAAGCTTTTAATTGCGTGATTATTAATCAGGAAAAAAAAATAATTCCAACGAACACGAGAGCATTGTTTAACTATCCTGATTCTTATTCAAGGTAATGAATAGTTGTCTTACCTGCACGAGTGACAAGCAACTATTGCACTCCATTCATTCTGACTAGGGTGTCTTTACTTTTTTCATTCTTTTTTTCTGGTGGGTGGTATCGATATTTTAAAAAAAAGAAAAAAAAACTTACTTAAGTCATCGATTCTTGGCCAATCCCCCTGAGTGGGTACGAGCCATGTCTGTGGATTCATCATCATCATCATCAAATGACTGAAGCGCCAGTTCAACGCAGCGATTTTTTGAAGCACGCGGATGACAGAGAAAAAAAGGAGAGTCGCAGCGGTGGCCGAAGGAAGACGCATCAGGGCGGTCGGGTTTTGGATCTGAGCCAAGGCTGCTACCTCCATCGTCCGGCGACCAGAGGGGCTCCAGGAATACCAGGCTGTGCTGACGTTCCCGTGCCAATGGACAGGTCTGAGCTGTCGATCTTCGGGCTCGAGCTCAGGCGGGGCTGTCCGGCTGGCGCTCTACCTCGAGGCAAGTGCGTGAAATGTAGCGTCAGCTGGTGCAGCGTCGACTGGCAGCCTAGGAAGGCTGCTTCTCCTGCGGTGCGTGTGGCTGTTCGACGCCGACGCCAACTGGGGCGACGACATTAGCCGCGTGCTTCGTGCCCGGGCTCCTGCGCAACTACGTGGGTGATATGCCGCTCCTTTAACGTTCCGCGACGCACTCTGTGTATAGGAACTGCGTGCTTGGGACTTTTTGTTTAGGGACTAGTGTGCAGCTTCTGTGTTTCTTGGTGACCGTATGCGACAGGTGGGACTCATTATATCTTGTATTAAGTGGTCTGAGGCTGTTTCCACTAAATGTTTGCGTCAAACGGACTCATCCTTCGGGAAGTGTCCTGAGGTGGCTCCTCGGACCTCCCAAATCGAATCTGCACGTTGTGCGAAACAAAAACAAGGAACAACAACGTTACACAGAGTTTGTGGTAGCAGCGTGGC